ACCCAAATTTTCACATGAATATGGAGATACTGCAGTGGTGATAAGTGTGAAAAACCCAAATTTTCACATGAATATGGAGATACTGCAGTGGTGATAAGTGTGAAAAACGGTCATAAGTCACTTTTTTCAGTGCCATTGTAACTTTGGTCATTAAATGGACTGTTGTAAGGCAAGGACTACCTGTAGTTGGGCAAATCTGTCCTTCCCCTTTTACTTTGCCGATCAGAAGCTGCTTGAGAAGGTTGCAAATTGTGATCACATGACTGCAGGACACAAGAACTGTCATAAATGTGAGCCAGTTGCCAAGTTCCCAAATCACGATCACATAACCCCAGGAGTCCTAACTTTAAGGATGGATCATAAGTCACTTTTTTCAGCACCATCATAACTTTGAACCATGATCATAAATTGAGAATTACCTGTAGTGCTTTGTTGTCACATGTATTTATATATACACAGGTGGTGTCATGAAAATTGGGGGTGCGGGGGTTTCAGAATACCTTGCAATAAGCTTCTATTGCCCGTGGGTATATATTTTTCTTGTGGTTTCTGCTCAATGCTGACTTCATTATGTCTAAACATCCAATTAACCCTCCATTTCTTAACAGTGAACATTGCTTCGTCTTTTCAGCTCTCTGACTTCTCCTGACATACTGCTTGTATTTGATAGAAACAATGCAAGTTCTAACTAGTTACAGATTCAAAGCAATTACCAGCATCACTGTAACTTTACAAGAAACTAGACCTTTCCAAAAATCCTTCACCCTGTCTCTCTCTTTCCCCTCCTCCTTCGAAATGATAATCCCACTGATTAAGATCAGCCCACTAAACTTATAGCTGCACCTGGAGTAGAGGAATTCAGTGTAACATGCAGATTCTCTGAGGATGGTTAGTGATAAATGAAAGCATTCAGAAAGGACATAAATGTGTTTAGATTACATTCTTTGTAGCCCTTTATTGCAGAAGGAGAAAACAGCAGGATTTATTCCAGACCTCTAATCTGTAAACTCTAAGGTAGGTTTTGAACTTAATGGCAAGCCCATTGACTTTTTAATTTATGGAGTTATATATCAGTTTTGTGATCTTGAGAATCAATTTCAAAACAAACACTTTAATATAAAGCATGTTTTATAGGTATATGCAGTTTCAAGGTGTTCACGTTTATTCCGCTATAGATCTCATTTTATGCATTTGAAACAATTTGAGTTAAGCATTTTATACCTCTAAGGGATTTTTGACAAATATTGTTTTGATACTTTATTTTAATATGTATTCTTACTTCATATCAGAGGAATAAGGTACTGGGTAGTAAGGTACTGATAAAATCCAATAAAAATGTTTATGAAAGGTGTTGGATTTCATACTGTCTTTACTTTTCATCTAGCATCTTTAATGAAACTAAAAATGAGTTTATCTTAGAAGAATATTCCTGTCCAAGGGATGAATGAGCAATGTTTTTATCATTCATATCTTGCATTGCATGGCTTCTTTATTCACCAGTTGCTGGCATGTCACTACCTGGATTATTCAAATAAAGTAAATAGGCTGACATGAAATCCTTTCTTCCCTTATGTGTGCATGTGTATTTTATTTTTAATTCTAGGAATATTCAAGACAAATCTTTCCTTAAAGTTTACAACAAGGATCCTGCCCATGTCTTTAATCACATGTCTAGAGCGATCAATGGAGATGTAAGGGTAAGTGTGAGACCTTTGTTTATTCGGTGTGTTCTTTGCTTGTCTCTTTCTTATGAGAACCTGCTTCTGCGGGGCCATAAAAATGACACAAATGTGTGAAAATCACCTCCCTTTGTTTTTCCCCCTGAATTATTTTGCCAAATGTGTTAAAATAAGTCACATTAAAGAGACTGTTAAAAATCAGGTTAACCAAGTGACCAGTTAAACAATGGCTATAAAATTGATGGAATGCTGCGGATGGTTAAATTCAGCTTGACTGGTGAATTAAGAATTGTCCATTATGGGGTTCATCACCTTCTTTTTGTAGTATGTAAGTTCAGAAAACTTGCTTAAGTTCAACACACTTATCAATCAAATTTTCTGGCTTCACATACACTGAATCAAACTAATCACACACCCTGGATTGCTGCCCTATGCTGAATTATACATGATTGGATAGCTTGTCGTTCCGTGTTTTATATAATTATATTGTATTTATTTTAGAAATAACTGCTTTTAGGATTGACTGTCACTCTTAATCATAAACAGTAATCTTAAAGCTGTTTGAAAAAATACTTTTAGTGCTAACAGGAGTAGCCAAAAGTAATCCATGAACAGATTCATTAGTAAGAAATCAAACACTGAAAGGACATAAAAATCCTAACCGCTTAAATGGCTGCAGTAAGTCAACAAGTATTGTTCACCATCTTCCTACTGGTGGTAAATAACATACTATACTTTGGTTTGGGCATGTTTTGTTGTGTGAATCAAGGCAGTTGTGCTCAACCAAACCAGTTTACTAAAAGGTATGCACTAGTCATTAGCTGCAATTATATATCATGCCAATAATGTCTATGCTTGTTGGGTCTGATTATAACTTAGAGTAACCACTAGATGGTACCAAAGAGTTAATGTTTTCTGTTTCCCTTTACTGCCACCTAATGATCATATAGATTTTTATAAATAAACAGTAGTATTCCTAAACCTATTAATTCAGATTGCACCTTGATTAGGAAGAACCATCAAACCTGGCACCTTCTTCCATCATTTGGTTACTACTACCATTTTCAAACCAGGAATGCTGACCTATGTTCCTTCTTAATAAGTCCAAGTTAGAAACTTTGATTTGTTTTTGGCTACCATTTCTTATTCAAGAGAGATGTTGCAGAAATCCTGATTTCATGCCAAAGAAACTGATAGGTAAACTGTATTTCATTTAGCTACCCTTGGTGGTAAAAGTAACCAAGTGGGAATAATTGAACAGCATATTGAACAACCCATTTCTTGTTTATGAAAAATCGGAGTGCTTATTTATCAAGACTATAAATACCATGTTTCTCCAACAATATGCCCCCCCACAAATAGGAAGACTTAGCATGTTTTCTAGGCATAGAATGAAATTAAGGCCCTCCCCCCAAATTTAGGCCTAGTTTAAAACATGCGACATGGGGGGGGAGGTGCCTCACCATTAGCCACTCCTAACACCATGATGGGGCATGGAGAGCTCCCTTACCCCTCCCCTACCCGGGTCAGCAGGCGGGTGGCAACAGCGTGGATGTCCAGCAGCATTTCAGCCGCTTCTCAGGCCTCTGTAGCTTCCATGATTCCCACCAGTGCTGGCACCTCTCTCGCCAGCACCGCCTCCAACAACAGCGTCTGAGTTGCTCCCTCTTTTCCCCTGTCCATGTAACAACAGGAAAAAAAAGATTTTGAGGTACCTGGGGGGAGGTACCCAGGGAGCCATGGAAGTGTTTTAGCCGCTTCTTGGATGGGGGAGCCATCTCCGTAACTTCCACGGTTACTGTAACTTCTGCCGCTGCTGCCACAGTTATCGGAAACGGCGCTGGCGAGAGAGGGACAGCTGCAGCTTAGCCTGGGTGCTTGGAATGCAGGAACGGGCTGTGCACTGGGACTTTTGCAAACTTGCAGAGCCTGAGGCTGGAGCACCAAGGGTAGCAGCAGCAGAGACGCTCGCTCGGCTCTTCTCACGCCCACCCAGCCACTCAGGATTAAACCAAAACGCAGTGCGCGGCGCTCCCAGGTGCCTCAAGATCTTTTTTTTTCCTGTTGTTACGGGGACAGGGGAAAAGCAGGAGCGATTCAGACACTGTTGTTGGAGACGGCGCTGTTGTGTGTGTGGGGGGGAGAAATTAATTCACCCCTGAAAAGACATCCTAGCCGTTTTTTCGGGGCTCAAAAAAAAAAATAAGGCCCGGTCTTATTTTGTTAGAAAAACAGTAGATTCATTGTATTTGAAGCTTAGATCCTTCCATAATACCCTGCCAAGATGTTGGGGCTGTGATAGATAGAATGGAATTGTATGACATTATTGTTTTTGTATTGGAATCTCACAATCTTTGGAATACAGGTAGCCCTCGACTTTGGTATCAGAATATCTATTGTGCCTGAATTCTGATCACATGACCATGGTGATTTTTTTTTAAACAATTGTTAAATGAATGGTTGTAAGTCAAGACTACCAGTAGCTCCTGGAGAAAAACCAGTGGAACTGAACTACACAGTAAGCATCCATAGAACTGTACTATAGCTCTCAGCACTGATAGTTAACCTCCACATTTTGTAAAGCCAAATGGAAATGTTCACTTTTTGCCACATTTGGGGAAATATGTAGCATCCATTTCTTAGCCCTTATTCCACTTAGCCTAATCCTACTTCCCATCATTTTTAAGTACATACAGGAGGACACATGGGCTTTTACTGGTGCTCCAGCAAATTTTCACAAACTTCTGTATCAGAATAGCTATTAAATAATAAACTTTCATACTGCTGAAAGTAGTTATTTTCCTAAAAACTCTTTTCCCCAGTGTATTTAGCCATGTAGAACAGAATGGAGGCATCGTTAATTATAGTATGGGATCTATTTATGACCATCTGCATCACCAAGGCTTTTCCAAACTAAAAATGATTCACTACTAGTACAAAAGGCTAGTTTAAAATTTGGCAAATGGGGGCTATCCAGGAGAAATAATCTCCACTTTTACTGCTTAGATCAAATATTTGTTTAAAAAAAAACATTTTCCCCTTCAAAATTTCAGTGCCCACTCTCTTGGAATAAAACACATTAATTCCACCAGGAAAGTATTGCCAGCAAGGGAACTGCCTGATTTTAGTAGGTTGTATAGGATTTTCAAACGGAAGTTAATCATTGGTGCAGAACTCCTGTGAAAATAGGAACTTGGAATTCTGCATTTTTTTGAGAATTTCTCAAGATCATGCTTTGCATAGAGAGTCCTAAGCATTGTTGCAATTATTAATGTAGCAAGAACTAGCATTTATAAATATAAAGATATAAAAGCGAAATACCACTAATGCATCATCACAAAATCTCCAGAACCGTAAAAGCCTACAAAGTTGAAATTTGGCACATATGTTTCTCTTGACTTCTAGGTGCTCACTAAGAAAGGTTCATCAGAGCATTAGTATTTCATATATTATTATTAACACACTCTGGTGTTAAGGAGTTCTACTCCCTCTTCCCACCTGAAAAGAAATCTGTTCCAATGAAAAACACAAGCAAAGCAGAGGAGTTTTAGTTTCACAGCAGCAAGCAGCTTTAGTACAAAATAGTTAATCTAAGCCATGCCCAGGCTCCTTGCTGTCTCCTTCTTGATCACACAGCAAATACTGCTTCACTTTCCACACAGCCCTCAACTCTCTCACACACTGACAGGATGCTAGCCAGATGAATACTGATGGATGCTGGTAGGCAGAGGCAGAATGTTTTTCTCCTTATTTTCCTCCCCAAAATCTAAGCCCAATCACATAGTTTTGTAGCGAAGCACAGGTATCCAGCTAGTATATTATAAACTCAACAATGTTGCTTCATGTGGACTGATTCTCTTTTCTTTTTGCCTGGATCACTGGTAGACCAGTGGAGGTATGTCATGATGCAGGTGGTGAGTTAAAATGATCACCTCTACCAAGAAATTAATTAATTTTCTAATCAGAAGTCATTTTGTTTTGGATGGGGATATTACTAGCTTTCACAACCAAGAAAAGAGTCACTACCGTAGCTGTTGGCAAGATGGCTAGATGTATTTTGTTCAGAATCTTCAGATAAGTGTTTCTAAGGAAGGAAATTATGGGAAAGGACTGATAAGGTATAAGGAAACACTTTTACAAGCACACATTCTATTTTTAGCCCTTGCAGAAGAAATTGAGGAAACTGGAGAGGAAGAAAGGTGCATAGAAAAGGCAACAGCCCTTTAGGGGAAGAGATAACTTCCTTTATCTAGCTGAATCCATGGTGGTTGGAATGGAAGAAACAGAAGAGTTTATTTCTATCTTTAGTATTGGACTCAAAAGAATACTTCTTACATCTTATAGATAAAACTCTCTTGCTAGAAAACTATTCCATCTTCTGTTGGTTACTTTAAAAAAAGAAAGATTAGTATGTGCCATCACAAAAAAACATTATGGAATAATGAACTAAATCAAAGGAAAAAAAAAGGCATGAGGCAAGAAAAAGCAAAGGAATAATCAGCCAATCTAGCTAAGCCCTTTAATATGCTGTGAATGAAGCTGAAGGTATCAACTTTGAGGTTTGGATAGCTTGTTTTACACAGTCCCATTTGGTTGTCTTTTTCTCTTGAATGGTAGGACAGCCAGCCAGGTGGTGATTCATTTCTATTGCTGTGATTTTTGGCACAACACATTGTAAGCAAGTGCTGAAAAAGCCTGTTTGGTGTCCCGTAGAACCCTTTGCTATAATTACAGTACTTTAATAGTTTGCATCCGGAAAGATGGCATATGTACTCACCCCTGAAGTGTTAATAATAGGTTATGTGGGGAAAATTTACCTTGGATTCAAAGAGATACCAAATGTTGGATCCAAGTCTTTCAATATATACTTACTCTCATTTTTTAGTTTACTATCTTGTTCAGAAAAAGCAGGTGGTCTTGAAAGTATTTTCTCTCTCTCTTTTCTATGTAACAATATGTTTGCCAGGTCCATTTTTTAAGCACGAAGTGTTTGCTTTCTGTTCATATTTTTAAAAAAA